CGCATTGAAGAGTTCCTATAAATACCGTAAATACGCAATTCGGCGCGCGCATGTGCTTGACAACGAATATTTTTTGACTTAAGTTCAGTCTCAGCTAAGATTTTGCTTAGCACGTTTCATGATCCACTTAAGATTTTGGTCTTAGCTAAGTCAAAACTTCAAACCTAAGTTCAAATGTTGTCTTAGACTTAAGTCCGTTTCATGATCCCGGGCCCTGACCTGTCTATTATCAACCGAGTACCAAGAGATATGGGGTATCGGTCACTACACATATCATTGCATCAAATGTCCGAAAATATGAAATATCGTGGCAAACAACCTTTAACAAATATGACCCCTATGACCTTGAAAATAATTCAAAGATCATTCATTTGAACAAACTTGGCAAACCTTCATTCAAGCATGCTAACAGTTACTTGCCAGATATCAACAATCTGGGCCTAAGCATTATTCAGAAGATGTTGTTTAAAGGTTTTATTCATATTTGACCCGTGACCTTGAATACAAGTCAATTTTATTCATTTGAATAAAATTGGTACCCCTTCATCCAAGCACGCCATTCTGGGCCTTAACGTTATTCAGAAGATGTCGATTGTAGGTTTAAAACATATTCAACCCCTGTGATTGAATATTAGTCAGATCATTTATTTGAACAAACTAAGTTGCCCTTTACTCCAGCATGTTACGGGTCAAGAAGTATCACCCTGGGCCTTTTTGTTATTCAGAAGAAGCCGTTTAAAGGTCTTAAATATATTTGACCCGGTAACTCGAATATAGGTCATGGTCATTCACTTAAATAAACTTGGTAGCCCTTTATCCAAGCATCTTTCTGGCCAAATATCATCATTCTTGGCCTTTTGGTTATTAAAAAGAAGTCTTTTATAAGTTTCAAACATGTTTGACCCCTGTGACCTTGAATATACGTCAAGGTCTTTAAATTTAACGAACTTGGTAGCCTTTAATCCCGGCATCTTACTGACCAAATATCATTCTGGTCCTTTTTGTTATTCAGTATAAGTCATTTTAAAACAGATTTCACCCCAGTGACCTTATCAGTGAAGGTCATTTATTGGAATAAGATTGGTAGCCCTACATAGTACATCTAAGCATGCTATTATCCAGATATCAATATTCTGGGCCTTATGGTTATTCAGAACATGTCATTAAAATTTTAAATCATATATAAACCTTGTGACCTTGCATATAAGTCCAGATCATGATAATTCATTTGAACAAAGTTGATAGCCCTTCTAGACCTGTTCATACCAGCATGTTACTGGCCAAATATCATCACCCTGGTCCTTTGGGTTATTCAGAAGAAGTTGTTCGAAAGTTTTTTAAGATAATTGACCCCGAAAGTTTTTTAAAGATAATTGACCCCTATGGCCTTAAATATAGCTCAAGGACAATCATTTAAAGTAAACACAAAAAGTAACCCTTCATCCCAGCTTGTTACAGGTCAAATTACATCATCCTGTGCCATTTCGTAAGTATTCAGAAGAAGTTGTTTAAAAGTAAAAAGTTGACGCCAGACGAACGCCGCACAATGGCATAAGCTCATTTCCCCCTTTGAGCCAGCGAGCTAAAAAGTAAACTAATCGTTTCAATCTTTAATTTCTTCTCATTTATTAATTAGTATTCCTGAAATTCTGTTATAGTAATGAGCATCTGTATATCAAATGTGTTAATATCATTATGGTTCAGTTATTTTTTTGTTCTATCCAGTTCAATTCTTTTTCTTTTTACTTTTTAATACTGTTGTGTACCAGGATATTCCAATACATCAGCTACTGTAACTGAAGAAGGGGAAAAAGTGACCTTACATAGGCTTCCAATGGCAGAAAGTAGGAGTCACATAAAACAACAATGGTTACGGCGTCTGCGCAATGTTCAAGCAAATCTAATTGTAAATGACAACACCAGAGTTTGTTCGGATCATTTTGAAGGGGAATTCATAGAAACATCCGTACCATCTTTATTTCCGTCAAAACCACCAAAAGAAGCCCTTCAGCAAACGAGGAGCCAGGTGAGCTAAAAATGATATAAAAACACACAGGACATGGCTTAATGTTCCTTTTTAAAAAGATACAAACACAAAAAGGACATACCAACTAGTGTATTTCAGTATATATTGTATGAACACACAAAGAAAATTTAGTGTTGTTGAAAAAACACATTCACATAAAGGACATATTTGAGTATATGAAATGGACATAGCTTATCTAATGGTGATAAAGTTAATGCATAAAGGACACATGTCGATGTAAATGCTATGAACACATAAGGGGCAAATGATGGCAATGTGTACGATATAAAACATAAGTTTATAGTTTAGTCATTATGTGATCATATCAAAGATAGGTGTTTGTGTTTCAATAATAAGAAGAATAATTCACTAGTTCGCTTGAGAAAAACATTTCATGATGTTAATTTCACTCTTTTTACAGTTTTTACAGCACCAACTATTAAAAACCCTATATATCATCATTATACACAGAGATCAAACAGCGTACAAGCATTATGGAGCCAATCCCTAAACTCTGACAAAGTCCCCGTGACGTCGCCTTTTAGAGTAAACACCGACATTGGGCAGTATTAGTCAAGCTAGAGCACAAAGTGCGTATTAAAATTAGTATTGACTATTGGATTCACAACTTTCTGAAGCTCACAATATCCCCAAAAAGGCAACGTTTAATCAAACTGTGCTAATATTATGATCATGAATACATAATTGTCTGGCGAGTATTCATGGCCTTATTCAAAATCTCGCACTTCTAATTCTTTTTCTAACGACAAAAGAAATGAAACACATGTGTCGGTATGAATCTTCTGTAAGGTCCATTCGGTGAATTATCATAATTATTTGTTAACTTCATTGAATAGATATTGTGAATAAATAATGTTGACAATATCCTTTTTATCTATTTTCAACAATACAATTCATTTGCGTCGGTAGCGGATGACAAGACCTTAGTGAGAAAAGTAGAATACCTGTTATACAGCCTAGTTTTCTTCCTAATATTTAACATGGTAGGGTGATCTCATATTTTCAGGAGACAAGTAAACGTTTCGAAACATTATCATTACTAACGAGTAAGACATAAGATGTTTCACAGTAGGGTGGTCAAACACACCTAATAGAACAATTAAGGATCATGAAACAAGATTGATTTTTACCATACGAAGCTACGCCAAATTGTGTTCAAAGTGAGAATTAACAAGGTACATATATCAAGTCTAGATTTACGAGGAAAAGCGAGGTAACTTAACTCAAGTCTGGAAAACGAGGTAAAATATATCTCATAACAAAGTTATATATAACAAGTCTGGATAAGCGAGCTTATATATTATATATACAGTACTAGATTTACGATGTTATATATATAAATATATGTGTTTGTATCAAGTCCAGATTTACGAGGAAATACACATAATTCTTGGTAAACAAGGTAGAATAAAGCAAGTCTAAATTAAGATATATGTATATCAAGTTTGTATTAAGTTTGTATTAACGAGGTTTTATATACATATATACAAGTCTGGTTTAATGGTGTAGCATACAATAAACTAGACAAAATTTAACCAGTCTAAGCTAAATTTACCGAGATAAACATACACGAAGTCTAAATTAGCGAAGTAATACAATGCCAGATCAACGGAGTAATGAATAACAAACAAAGACATACAACAAACGAGTGTGGATTACTTGTAAAGATATTTATTTGTATACACGAGTCTCCTGGTATGCAGCATCTTCGCTAGCCAAGTTTTCGCTTGATATACACTCGAAGCGAAGATGGTTAGGCAGAGATGTTTAAGTGAACGTCATTGATATGTGAATAACAGATTAATGCTCGGGGACAAATCATCTACAAAATCAGGATGGCTAATAGCACAGTAAAACGATTCCAAATACACACAAAAATTAACCTTACATTGTTATATTTATCAATTTACTTACCAGCTTACCAGGTCCAGGAAGCTCTGCATATTAAGCTTATATAGTTGTCAAGACCAATATATAGTTATATGCAACTATCCTCTTAGCTGTATTTTGCTTTATAATAGTTTAGTTTTAATAGCTAATAATGCAGAGTTACACAAACCTATAGGATTATGGTATGTTTATTACGAACAGCATAATTATAATGTTTTATTATTTTACACAAATTTATTTGATGCATTTGTAATAAAATAAAGATAAAATATCCTTTACCTGCGACCAGGTTTTCTTTTAGTAAGTCAATACGTGAAAAATAGCGCAAAACATATATATATATCAGAGGTAGGTAAATACATCTATGTTAGGTCTTTACGGCTATATAGCTCAATCGGCAGTGTACTGGACCTAATGATACACTACACAGTAAATAGAATATGTGATGTTTTCAAGAACTACAAACAAAATGTACAAGTCCTGGTATTCATCCTGATCAACTTATATAATTTACAAAAAAAGGAATTCAAATTTCTGTATAAATTCAAGGCAAAAATGAATATGAAAAGTTCATGTATCATAAGTCTCGAGAACCTTGATAAAACTGAACGTTGTAAAATTTCGAATATATTTGATTTTGTACTGAAAACGAACGCAACTGATCGATTCGTGCAGAAATTGCATATAAAGTATTTTAAAAAAACGAATGAACTTCACAAATTTATGCCCTTTAGTCTAACGATACATTAATATTGCTACACGCAAATTACTGTTTTTTAATCCCCATTTGTACAACGTTTCATTAGCTAAGATTCGGTGATACTTTCAGTCACTTGAAACGATAAGACAAGACAGGGCATTCTAATATATTCACTGATAAGATGAAAAAAACCATTCTAAGTAATACTGATTTTACTCAAAAAAATGAAACCTTTTTTTTCTAACATGTAACGTGTTTTTAAGCTATGATTCTTCATATCACCGAGTCCGAATCATGTTGTTAATGTATATTAACCTCGTTTGTACTATGATAACCTTAAGAGTTGTTGTTTTGTTTTCCCATAATTAGTACGATGCATGCAAAAATGTGAGGACCGAATCACTGCCGATAGTTATCTAGTCGTTAAATAAACACGTGTACACAAACTTATGTATTCCAGATATAAAGGATCTGCTCACTGTTATTTATATCACATTTATAATATTAATATATTCAGTTATGTTGATCACGTGTTATTTGAATGAGAAGTCGCACTTCTATTACCTCTAAGGTATCCCCAGCCATTTAGTGTAGTCTTTCTATTTCAGAATAATGGTCTGTTCTGTGTACAAGTGTTACACTCCTTGTCACATATCAATAGCAGCTATACTGCCTTCTTGTTTTACTACAATACAGTGAAATATTCATAATAACAAAATGTAAACAAATACTTGTATAGCTCCCTATCCTAAAACCTGGTCATCGTGCGATATCTGTAACTAGATTTTGACTCATTTTCCCCTGAAGTTTCATAATGAACTATTTCAACCTTTTAATTGGAAGAGTTCAAATGTGTCTTCATGGGTGAATGGGTTAAAGACTGCGACGTTGTCGAATACTAAGAACAGAAAATTTGATGGTTAACAGGACTTCCCTAGTTTATTAAACAAAAATTATCTAAATAATACTGGATGAAAAATATTGAGGCCAGACAACATCTTAATTAACAGACCATGATATACATGTATATAATCTATTTTAATTTGAAAATTGTCTTCATAAGAGCGGCTGCTCTAAAATACGTTATATCATAAGTTTATGAATTGTATCGTGAAGTTCAAATGATAATTTATAAACATCTACATAAATGTATGATATCAAAGTATGTACCTTTCTGTCTTTACAGGCCGACAGTAAAAATGTACATATATCGCTGAATATTTCAACTTTTCCATATAAGTATGTATAAAAGGGTATTTCATTTAAAGCATTTAAGCAAAGTATTAAATCATGATTACTTCCTTATTTTTACATTTACACAATATATCTGCTATTAGTAAGCTTATTTAGCATGAGCACACGGGGTAAGTGTATTTTTATTTTATTTGTTTAGGGCTTTGCATCACAATAGTACAAGTCTATGAAGACATTGTCTAAAGATGACGGGGTCACTATCTAAGCCACTTTAAGTACTAGTTCACTGGAAGAACTAATTGCTCTACGGAGCCATACAGAAGAATAATCCCAAAAAGCTCCTTCCGAATGATTTATCACAGGTAAGGTTTGTATAGCCTACACTAGTCCTACGTTGACATTAAAGCACAACACCCAAACAGGTTTTTGCAATCAGACCTGAAAATCGTTTACTTCATGTCGGTAAGCAAAGTGTTATGAAATCACTACAGGCATGTTTGAGATAGGTTTAACACATTGCATTATTGATTACCTGGTCGTTGATTACAGGTAAAAAACTGTTATTACTACACTTAACACACGTGTCTGTACATAGACACAACCGACGTGTTTACTTTGCCATAGTAATACATCATATCGAATGAAGGGAATTATATTAACGATTTACGATATAATTAGTCCAAGTCTTTTAAAACCCAATTTTGTTCTGTTGTCATTTGATTTAGGCACGGAATTAGATTGCTATTTAAGTCCAAGATTTAGGTCATAGAACATTTGAACTTGAATATTCTAACTTCATATAACAGATCAGCCCCTTGGATCATGAGACAAGATTTTAATCTAGAATTCATTTGGTAATGAAATTGATATTATTCTTGGTAATCAATTCAAACTTCCTGTAATAGTACATATTCACTTAATCTTTACGTACATATATATATGCTCAATGAAAGTTTGATGCAGCACTGAAATAAAAGTAAACTATATGAAAATGTTGACTCATGTCTAGACCGATTCCTTATTCTTTTGCCAACACGAAGATCATGAAATTCCCGTAGACTCCTGGCCTGATTTCAAACGCCCATACAATAAATACACTGCATCTCTCTCAGAGATCAGTGCAGTTGCTGATATTCTGCATATTTACATTTTGTCCAAAATCACGTTTTCACGTGGAACTGAATGATTACATTACGTTCAAATTTTGAGTTGTTTCCCTTTATAAATTGCAGCCACGTCACCCATCGAATGTATTTGATTTCATTCACAATGAGAAATACAACTGATATGAGATCACAAAGTTACACACAAAATCGATAGCTTATCAATCATTGGCATATTAATATAAACACAAAACATGATTTTGTAATATCATTGGCATCATCATTAAGTACATATCGAACATCAACAGATAGCAATTGTATTTACACAAAACAAGATTATCAATCATGTATACAGTGTATATAGTTCAACAATAATAGATATTATGAATATAAAGCACTAATGAGAATCTGTAAGGATTATTCACATATAAGTATATTCAACATTTACACCCATATATATGCATTGATTAGTTTTCTTAACAACCCTAATGATACACAACATGTACATACAGTTCTGCCGACTCGAATTCCTGGACATCAAATGGTGAATTCCCTGACATTGCAATAAGGACAATGTATAATAAGCAACGAAGTTGGTCCCAATATTTGTCAAAATAGCGAAGTCTGATCAGCGGAAAGTTTGGGTGTTGTTCTTAGAAAATGACAAGAAAAATATCAGAGACTGATAAAGGGAGACAATTCAAGAATATTTTTTTTGTCAATATAGTTATCCTAAACGCCAACGGGTCCATTTTACACAATTATATTTCTGTATATTCTGAACCCATCCAGCTCCTACAGGGAGTGTTAGTTTTACTGTAACACAGACCTGATCATCTATAAAATTAATCTTTAAATCTAACCAACACTTTCACCCTTTCTCAGACTTTGATATGCTTCAAAGTATTTCATTTTGTTTTTGGAACTTTCTTATTTTGAATGAGTATAACAATTCAACGTTCAAATCTTTAAATTGTCTTTTGAACATTTAATGTCAAAACTTTGAGAAATCCTGGGACAAACCATCTCTTATAGTACTCTACCCTATCCTGTGTATCCCTCTAAAACTTGATATTGACTTTTACACAAAAAAATATATATACATTACCAAATTAAAAGCACAATGTCCGATTACAATTTCTGTATACATATCTACATGTGATTATAACACAAGGTACAATGTATAATAATAAAATATATCAAAATCAAATGATAAGCTTAAATTAATTCCATATTTGAAATAAGTATGTATTTGAAGTTGACATATATATTATCAAGTCGTAAATCAATACTCCGAATCTGCATTTAATTCCCTGAAATACATTTGTACATTACTTTGACTGCTGTATAGTCAAAATCCCCCATGATTTTGAAACTAATGATTATTGAAAACTCACAAATATTGCACGGAAAAACATTAATAATGATGACCAATATCATTCTGTAATTACATCAATCCTAAATTGAACCAAACAAAATCTACTTTCAAGAAAATTTCAGCATCAGAAATATATACAAACAAAACTATATAATGCATGTGTGGCATGATAACATATGCACAGAAAACTGAAATAATTCAAAGTCTAGAAAAAATATGTCTAAGTTCGACTTTTTTTCCCATCAGAAATTAAGACTTGGTTGAAATAGTGGTTCCCCAACGAGTGATGGTTGGTTATCATATTTATCTAACTTGAGTTACTTAATCTTCAAATTGTATCAAGACACAAGGTTAACAGAGTGTCTTTTACAATTTGAAAATTAACTACTGAGAGTTAGCTGATAAACATGATAACTGATCATCACGAGTTTGGGGACATGTTTCTCCCTAAACGTTTTCCCTTTGAATATTCATCAGGTGTGTTTCAGATGGGGGAAACAGTTGCCATGGAGCATGACGTCACAATGGAAAATGACGTCGAAAAGCATTGTTACGTGACGTCATAAATCAAAGATTGACCAATGAAATCACGTTCAGGGTGTTACCCACTGATGTTTACCAACTCCTACAAATGTAGCAGGTTTATCCACCAATGTGTCATAAGTGAGGAAACCTACAGTACAAGTGGTTGTGGGAGAAACTAGTTTTCAAGTAATTATAAGTAAGGGGGTTAAAATTAGACATGTATCTACAGTCTACAGTTGAAATTTCAGTTCAAATCAATTTCAATTGAACAGGAAAACCTCACAAAAAAATATTTAAACAACACATGTACATTTGTATATCATAATTTTACACGGTAAGTTTTCGACTAGCGAAAGAAACAGTGTTTAATAAATATATGTACAACAGAAATATTGTTTTACTGAAATTACTTTTTTCATTGAAAAGGTACAAATACAACATAAACACTTGCAGTCAAGAGAGTAACTGTGTTGAGTTTATATAGAATATACATACTTACAAATTAATGCAATAAAGCAAAACATTGTTTAGAAAATACTAATGACTATATAATGTATAATGTAAATATGGATATCACAATTTGGGTTTCCTATGGTATGTATGTACAATATATAGGTATGAAGACTGTGAGTCTCGTATTCACAAATATGCAAAGCACCTTATCTATTTGTAATAGTGTTCCTGTACAACAGAATTAACTGGTATACCAGTATGTACACATGGCTTGGTCAGGTCCGTTATATATATTCTGTAAGCTTAACCACACAGGGGTAGAGAGATACAACACAATTGTTCAACAAGTATATTGATGCATATCACTAACACAGTTCTCCTAACTTGATTATGTTTCAAACCATGATAAATTATTTTTCATTATCAGTTTGCGGTCATAGTTGCAAGCCTATCAAAAACCATGTTTAAACACATAAACCCTTCCTTGTGTACAGGAAATAAAATTAAGAATAAACCTCAAGCTTGTACAGTCTTTTTTTGTTATAGATAAGCTAAAGGCTTATTATTATAGGTAAAATATTGTACCTTAGGTATTCAGGTTGAATTGAACTGATCAGGGCATGTCTACATACTGGTGTTCCAGTTAACACACAGGCACAGGTCACAAAACTCACAACCTGATGTCCTGCAGCTGAAATATCTGCTCCTCTAGCGACGCCACGCTGGGCGATGTGTCCACCTTTTGGAATGTTTGTTTTAGGGGCTGAAGGAGCAGGGCTGCATCCACTGCAGTCGGTAAGTGGGGGGTGGGAGAGAAGGAACTTTGTCTGTGTTGGACAACCTTGGGAATGGGCCGAACTGCTATGGATGGTATGTCGTAATGAAAAGACCCCATCTTAAGACTAGAGGGCATTATAATGGACTGCACGTCCTTTTCAAGGTCCTCCATTTCAAAGTCTTTGTTTGACCCAGAGTCCTGCGAGTCTGAGCCGGACATTTTGGCCCCATGCTCTTCCCACTCCTTATGAACATCTGCCTGGAATACTGTCTGGGAGCTGTGGATGCTGGAATCACACACAGTGGGCATGGATTTACTCTTGTGTCTGTAGCTAGACATGTCATCTTCGCTGTCTTGGGTAGGCTGCCGAACAAGCCGACGCCCCTTACAACGTGTGCTTGGGTTGTGTTCTGTCTCTGTCCCGCAAATCAAACACGGCATCTGTTCCAAGCCACTGTACAGCGATGGTGACTGGAAGCTGTCACAAGACTTGGAGGTGTGGTTTGGTGGTGTAGACAAGGTCTGATGGCTAGACAGTGAAGAGGGGAGGGAGTTCTGACGATTTTGTAAGTTTCCCACCATGTTCAAGTGTGTCTGTTTAGTGCTACGTGGCAAGGTCTGGCTGTGGATGTCGACCAATGTGTTGACCTGCTGAAGGTCATCCTTCTCTGGCATATTTATTTTCAGATCCCCTAACAAAGGCTCTAGGGAGCTTTTCCGTGTATGGCGGGATTTCGTCTTGTTTGGTGGAGGAATAAATTCCATGCTATCTTCTACCCAGTTGGGATTACATCTAAAATATTCTTTTGCAGATTCGATAGCAACTCTAAGCTCCGTGCCTAATTCTGAGCTGTCGTATGTTTTGTCAGATATGCCCAAGCATACGTTTCCATTCTTAGTTTGGTCTGTACTTGTCCCATGTAAATGACAAAACAGTGGCAAAATGTCCCTCATCAGACAAAACTTGGCGCCGGTCTCCAGCTGGTGAGGAATGTCACTGGCTGTGGAATAGTCCATGTAGACCACGGCGTACTTAGACATGGACAGGCCTTTAGACCTCTCAACTCTCATCTTCTCAGCCACATAGTCCACGGCCACTGCAAAATAGTCGGGAATCTTTCTGCACGGATCGAATTTGAATCTTACACGTTTCTTTGTACATCTCAGTCTTGCACCTACTGAACACAACACAATGATGTAATCCACTTCCTGTAGTCGATCCACCAGCCAGTCATCCAATCCACGCTCAAAGATGATCTGATCCTCAAATAGGTCAAGGTGAACATTACAGTTACAAGTCTCTATGAGATAGCCAGCTAGTGCGGACACAACTTTCTCGTGAGCTGCACAATCATATGCGTACAGTATCAACACCGATGGGATCTGCTTCTGTTCAAGGTCTGCAAATATCAGACAAAATAATTGCAAATACATAAGAAATTCATATCACATAGAAGAAAAATATATAACATTTACATAAAACTGAACTCAAATATTTAAACAGGATACGTAACTGTCTTTTCGGACCAAGACTCATGAATTCAAATATCTGGCAAATTTTATCCAGAAATGCTTGAATACTGGATATGTAATCACCAAATTATTATCCAGATATCAGTTAAGTAAGGGATATATTTAATTAGAAATCTTTAAATTATCTATTCAGGCATATCAAACAATGGATAGAATTTAGATATATGTCACCTTGGTAAATTACCAGCCGCTTCCTACCAACTCACCTGGGAGAATTTCTCTTCGCTCATTCGGTAGAGCGTAAGACTAGTAAGCTAGAGGTCCTGGTTTCAACTCCGAGGGGAGGCATCGATATAATAATTACTTTTGTTACATATATCTTTATCAATTTAAGAATTCTTTTCCTGTTGTAAATGATTTTTTCAGTAATATCTGTTGGTACTTTAATCCCTATTAACGCTGAATGATTATTTAATATCCCCTATTTACATTGTATTAAAAACATTAACCTTTTCGTTTGTATGCAAACTACATACCTAGTGTTATGGAGCTATTTAACTCATTCTGTTCCCTTGATCCTGAAAAATATAAAGCAGTCAAATTATTTAAAGTATTTAACAAGGTTACCGCGAGCGGTATATAATACGCCAGCCACACATTGAATGAGCAGTTGTTTGTATGATTGAAATATATGAAGTATTTGTGAGTAATTGATATTAAAAGAGAAATCATTCAACATAACTGGTAGATCAATGAGTGCAATACAACATCATGGAACGCATGCATCGCATTAATGAAACCAAGGGGAATAACTCCAATAATTACGGTCGGATAATGGCGGTTATCGAACTTGTCCGAGGTTTCATGGTAATTAACCTTGTTGTGAAGTTTGAAGTTAATCCGTTAATAATTACTCGAGATATCGAGCGGACACTGTTTCGGCAAGTCCATAAAGGGGCATAACTCCACAAATTATGGTCGGATAATGGCGGTTATCGAACTTGTCCGAGGTTTCATGGTAATTAACCTTGTTGTGAAGTTTGAAGTTAATCCGTTAATAATTACTCGAGATATCGAGCGGACACTGTTTCGGCAAGTCCATAAAGGGGCATAACTCCACAAATTATGGTCGGATAATGGCGGTTATCGAACTTGTCCGAGGTTTCATGGTAATTAACCTTGTTGTGAAGTTTGAAGTTAATCCGTTAATAATTACTCGAGATATCGAGCGGACACTGTTTCGGCAAGTCCATAAAGGGGCATAACTCCACAAATTATGGTCGGATAATGGCGGTTATCGAACTTGTCCGAGGTTTCATGGTAATTAACCTTGTTGTGAAGTTTGAAGTTAATCCGTTAATAATTACTCGAGATATCGAGCGGACATCGTTCGTTCGCCCGCCCGCCCGTGTGATAACATAATACGTCCCCGTCTTCGACGGGCGTATAAAAAGAACAATGTGAAACATAGCATTATACTTTTATTCATCAGCCAGGAATAAGACGAGGTGCTTTTGTTTCTCATTAACTGTTTACAATAGACTCTTAATGGAAATTGGAATTAATTTCAGTTATATATACCTGTCAATTGCACTCGTTGCTTGAGAATGAAAACAGGTGTTTTCATAATTACATATAAGAATATTTTCATCAAATGCCGCTTGTGTACAAAACAAACTTTGATACAGAACTGATGGATCTCATCCCAACCATGTTTCCTTACAAGTCCATTGACGTACCTGTGGTGTAGTTCTGCGCTTGGCGACGTTTGTAAAGGCGATAGAGAAGGGAGATAACTAGGAGAAGGCCTAAGAAGCCAAAAACGCCACACACTGTCCCTAGAACGATCTGTAAGGACTTCTGGTACTCAGAGTTATCCGGTTCCTTCACACTCACATCATCCGCTAGCAAACAACAGTTGATGTAGAATATAAACAAATACTCTTTTTGGGGTATAAAATAATTCAAAGAAATGGTATTTCAACTTGGTCAGAAATTTTGCTTTATCAAATATAAAATTTAAACAGATTTTCATGAAATTAAATCAGTATATGTATAGCAGTACTAATGATTCATTGTATGAAGTTGTATCTTTTCAAAATCTTTTTTATAAATATCACAAATAAGAATTGTGTGACATAAAGGCAAGTAAATATATAAGAAATATAAGAAACATTTGTACACTATATTACATAAACAAATATTGTTCACTCATTCTGATACTCCAATGCATTTATCAAGGTGTTCATCCTTTTGAATGAAGATTATAACCATTCATGAAGAAGCAATGAAATATTTTGAAGTAATATTCATTGAATATTCATCAGTTGATATTCACTTTTACGTATTAATAATTATAAAGAAAATATCATCATCTTCCATGGGAAAACAAGTCCAATGTCATATCTAACCCAGTGGTACCATGGTCTTGTTCAATCAGATCTGTATTTCGTGTTGTCTAGGGAGAAAATTAACATTCAGTAGATTTACGGAAGATAAGATGGCTTAGGATGGAATTGTATTTTGATAAAATGGCCTATCAAACCCAAAATGTTGAATTTCCTATGGTTGGAATTTATTCAGTACGTATGCATAATACAGATTGTGAATTTAAACTAGTTTAGCCTATAAGGATTTTAATGTGATTTCTTTGGAGGAAAAATCAGCTTGTGACATTAAGGACGTGTTCCAGCCAAATTTAACTGGTCCACTAACTTGACCTCTGATTGTACTTACCTCCTCCCCCTGTGTGACCACTGCCGCCACTCATTGGTAACGTAGGTGTTGACATACCGGAATCTAGTCCTGTGGTAAGTAAAACAATCATAAGCAGGCCATACAGGGCTTCCAAAACAAATATATATATATATAGCGTAATACAGTTAACCTGAATCGCAAACCCTTTGACATGCGAAAGTTATCGCCAAACATTTTTGAAACTTACGCTTTTGATCAATGTGTATAACATAAAACCAGTTACATCACACATTGAAACTTCATCATCTGACAAGAATTTTCAAAGAGGACAAGTGTGACTTTGACACTTTAACTTAGATCACTGACCATCAAAATGTCAGCAGGTAAAGATAGATAGTTATGTATACCATAGTGTAAAATGAACTATTTTTTCTAAATCTGTAGAAGTGTTCATGACATAAAAAAATGTAAACAAGCTTTTTATTATAATAATAATAATAATTTGAGGTTCTTATATACCGCTTTATCACAACCAAGTTCGTAGGTCGTCTCAAAGCGGTTCACAAATTATTATCCGTGGTTATAGGGCCTTTGCAACCAGCCAATACCTTTCACAACTCCCTGGGGAGCATACAGCCGGAGCTGCCATTGCGGCGCTAACAGCTAGCATTCAACAATTCTAGCACTGCCCAACCACGTACTCATTTACAGCTGAGTAGACTGGAACAAGCGGAGTAAAGTATCTTGCTCAAAGATACAACATATTGCCGTGCCGTGGCGCGAACCACTGGACTACTGGCCTCCTAATTGAAAGACTCTTGGTCATGATCTAATTTCAATGTCAGCAATGAAGTCAACTATTCCCTCGACAAATTTTTGGTAGCAAAAATTTAAAAAGGGCCATTATTCTGAAATAGTGGGGCAAGTGACAGATGAATGTGCTGGCAAAGCGATACCACCTAACTCCACTGGTGGTGAGGCAATGAAATATTACAGTATCTCCATTGGCTATATAATGTTGCACTATTCACTGTTTGTTTGTTTATCCTATTATTTATAACTGTATTGCCAAAACCCTGAAGATAATATTGACCAGCATCACTGAAAAGAACAAACATCAACAGAAAATTCTGATGGACAGGTTTTATTTTACAGCATAACAAGCTTTTGATGATGTTAAACTTACCAATGTCACCCATAACAGTGTGCTACGACATCACAGTGGCTCCCAACATGTTTGGGAGCTGTGACAGGGAGGGGGCCTGCTCACCAGAAGCACTGTTACAGCATGCGCATGTCTCAGTCGAAGGAAATTAGTGTCACTCTGGGATCCAATGACAGGACAATCACAAATGCATGCTACATGACCAACTTCCTACAAAATATAGTTAAAATACAAGTCTTTCAAAAATATTTAAATATCCTAAGAGTCATATATACAATACCCTCAACATTTGGTTCCAAGACACAAGATATGTTTAGTCTGCAGTTGAAATAGTACATGTACATTTCACAGTAATTTAAATATAGCGTACAGCTAATTAAGTGCCCTTATTAGTCTAATACGAGGGCAGATAAAAAAGGACACCTTATTTAACGGCTAAATAAGTGCCCATTTTATCTACTGTGAGACTTAAAAGGCACTTTCATCAGCCGCTGATTAAAATGCCCTTTTTGGCCTTATGTGCCATTTTTCGCCCAATGTGCCCTTTTGCCTGCCACTTCTGTGCTCTTTTTTTCCCTTTGGGAAACACTATGTTTCTTATCAACAAGTATATTAATATAATATTTTATATCCAAAATGCAAGTCTAAAGGAATAATTGGACACTCCGGTACCAGATCAGCTGTACAATGGAATGGAAATTGTGGGTATAAGCTTGAAATTCCAGTCATATAAATTTGTCTGGATTATTTGACCGCGTGATGTCTAGGCTTTTGGAAATCATCAATAAAAATAACAAAAATGTATTAAATATACGTTATATTTATGATGGATAATATGAGTTTAGACTTTAGTCAAGTGTGTTACAGTAAAAGTTTAATGGTATATATTACAGAGATATTAGATTCTCACAAGAACATGCATCTGTGAGAAACTGGACTGGGTCGATCATTTGCGACCAGGTAACTCAATAGGTTAGAGCGTCCATCTAGATCTTGGAGGGTCCCGGGTTACATTGGTACAGCCTACAGTGACCAACCCTTGTTTCAAGCATTTGGTGTAAGCTGGGCAAGGGGATACCTAAACCTGCCAGGGTTTTAAATAGTTGTGTCTTCGTGGGCAAAGACTTGGAAAAAGGAGTAAGGATGTAGCTGAACTAGATTGGGTCGATCGTTGGCGAACAGATGCTCAATTGCTGTGCATTTTTCCTCTCCTGTTACAGTCCATGCGAAATATGCCTGTCCAAAGAATATGTCCGGTAAAATTACTACCGGTCCGGTTGCGGACCAAATGTCCGTCACACATTTTATACCTAAGTCATATTGAGTCATGTCACTTATGCGCTTTAAACGCCTTTGTGATATTCAGTGCAGTCAAGCGTTGTGGTAACCTGTAATGACATTATTGGAGTGAAGAAAGGACCCAGTGAAGGATAAAAATTGCTTTGATACGTGACTTGGGTAAAACCTGACAAACCACTGCCAAAACGAATTCCAGTTAACGTTTTTATTTTAATTATTAGTATTTGTACACATCAAACAATTTTGGAAGATTATTTTTCATTTTCTTCGGAGTAGTAAGTAATTCAAGCTAACCGGACCAAAATGTCCTGTAAAAGTATAAAAAAAAACGTTGTTTTGGTCCGACAAGCTTGGGATAGTTACCTGACCGAATGTCCGGTAAGAAAATTTGTAATGAAACAAATAGAAATCTTTGAAATACACAATTAGGTGTGTAGCCTAGACATGGACTTAATAGAATTCCATTGTGTACATTTACAATTTACCGATCTGTCTTTTGTACAGACTACCTACGAAATAGTACTGAATATGTATATCAAACAAGAGCTGTTGGAGAACAGCAAAGCTCGCCTATTGGTTATATATGTTTAAAGATAGCAAATATCACTAGAGACACACTTGCAGTAAAATCTCAATAAGATGCTTGTCATTTCATTTGCCACCTCACTTACTGCCAATATATTTTCAGTTCCCTTGATTATATTATTCTTGAGAATTCCTGATACGTACGTTTCCCTAAACTAATTGCCAAATCCCTTTCTAATGCCAACATTTGTTTCTTTGAACAAATGATGGCAATATAACAAGGTTTTGCTGTACCTTAATTAACATGTAAGAAGAGATGACCAGCTAACTTGAAATAGTCAACAGCGTATTCATGGATGTGACGGATCCAGCACTGCACTAAAAAACTTGCCCACAAATTTAACCTAGTCCAATTAAGGTGTTTTTGTCCACTAAAATATAAAAATATGGTCCAGCACAATGCTTACACTCGATATATATAACCTCATAAAAGACAACTGTGTATTGAATGCAATGATCCAACATGGTCTGGGGAAAACTTGCCCAAAAACTTAAACCTCAGAAGGTGGGGTGCCGACGCGACTACATTAGCCCTCCTATTCTCCGAAAAGGCGAGCTAAATATAAAAAGAAAGTAAAAAGTTCTGTTTTTTAGTGTCATATTTTCAAGGTGTTGATCACTTTTAGCCTTCTCCAGACTGCATTACAGAAGGAAATGAAGTCGTCAAACCTTTAAACGTGATCTTAGAAAACGATGTCCTGTAGTGGTCAGTCGTTACCTTAGAAACAATTAATAATAAATGAGCTCCACTCCACCTGATTGTCGTAAAACTACTGTATCGATATTCGGTGCCGATTTTACGTAATCAATGTCAAGTACTGGCATGGTGACTGGAGCTATATTAATGTGCCGATTTCATTTAAACAAATCTACATTTGATAAGAAAACATTCCTTTCAAATAACAAGAAATCTTAAGTGATAATTGTTTTATCTGGAAAGCTATATACCTCCGAAAACCGACAACAATGAAAGTAAACAAAAATTCTTCCTGGAGCGATTACGTTGGTTTTTCTGCGTCAACTTTCCTATTATAAAGAAAACAGATCGATGATTCTTACGTATTCATGTTTAGAATTGTTAATGAATATGTCAAAATACATATTTCATTACAGCCTGATCAGGCTTCGAGCATTACCTGCGGATAAACAAGATGTTTTCGTCTTTTTTTCCTAGGTCAATAATACCAACAGGAAGCTTGTGTTAATACGCCGTCTATTGGTAAACGAAGGGAAGTAACCGCGGCCCGTGTTCAAAGTTATGACTCGGGTGAGGCAAAGACGCCGTATATTTTACGTCTCTGGGTGAGGCAGAGACGTATAATACGTCTCTGGGTGAGGGTATCAAAAAGGGAACACTTTTAATATATATGCTGCAGCATTTTTTATTTTGCAATAAAAATAAATGGTATATATATGTATTCTCAACCAAAATTTAGATAGTTTTATGCATTTTGAGCAAATTTCATCTGCCTACAACTTTTAACTTATTATTGTTCATAAACTCAATTGACACATTTAAAAATTAAAGTGAAAAAAAATCCTCGGAAACGGTACGGTGCGACAACACAAATATCATATCGCATTTCTAAACATGGAAAACTAGGTCTATATGTGCAAACAAATATTTTAGGGAATAAATGACTAAAATTTGTCAGAAATTGTCAAAACTTTTTTGAAACGAAGAAAATTACATGTATCTTAAATGCCGTCAGTTATTTTCATAAACTGACTTATATGACGATGTGTTCCTTTTTGGGTACTCGACCAGCTTAAAAGTTCAAGTTAATCTGACTCTCTTTAATGAGCTCTATGAATAGACACGCGTGCTATGTATACCAATTAAAGAAATACAGAAAATGAAGGCTAAAGACATGTATTGTTTCATTTCAGTAACAAAAAAGGTCTTTCAGAAACTTTATAGGAAATATTAATATTTTTCTTTGAAAAGTGTTCCATTTTGGATACCCTTACATAGAGCTTAAAAAATAAGCTTCTACTATTCTTAGGCTTTATCATTTATATACAAATGTATATGAGAACGATAACATAAATGTATGCATGAGATATATACATGGAAAGGTTAACACAATGAATTTAAAGAGAGAAAAAACTTATCCCCTCATGTCGACCGAACACCGACTTCGTCAGTGAGTGTAGACTATAAACCTTTCAATCAACCAACCAACCAAACAGATCTCCTCCCTAACCGGGTTAGATATAGGAAGCGGCTAGTATTTTACCAGGGGGAGTGACATACATTTTGAGGCCTGTATTTATTCCCTTTATTTCCCTCCAAAATGAAGATTACATAAACAGAATAGTTACATATAAGAATTAATAAATATATATACATACATGGACATTGAAAGAGTACAAGGGTATCGTTATTTTAATGTGTACATAACTAACTATATACTCCGGCTTTATTTTCTCCAGAATGAAGATTATAATGATAGAGCATCACAATTAATACAATCATCAATTAAACATCAATTATCAAAATTATTGTACATATATATTACAATAAATTTATGTTGTTAACATATTAGGGCATATAATTTAAGCTAGCAGTATCAGGCCCTTTTGATTATTTGACAATAATCAGCATAGATATAGTAAATGTGTCATTTGTAATATGATATTATAATTCGAAAAAATAGTTTAACAGACGTCATACGGAACTCTTCTAGGTCTGAGTTACACAAATTGTAAGAAAAATTCCCCCCGATCAGAACATGAAATAATTGACTTTCGTTTAAGTCGTGCAAATATACACTGAACAGTATATCGCTAATATTAATGATATTACACCATAATTCGTCCCTTAATTCGTCAGTAGAACTACACTGCAGAACTATGTGGATAGCAACATCTTCATAAAACTGACCACATTTATGACATAATTCATTATGAGCCAACCACCTCATGGTAACAATTAATTTCATTATGTAATAAACAGCTTCTCTATTACCTGGGAACTTTTTACATAATTTCCACAGCTGGTGTGGAACTAACTTGTCGTGTATTAAAACAATCCTAGATAAGTCAGTATTATTACACATCCTATTTAACCATACTTTTTCTTCATATCCATGCACAGCATTTTTAACCTGCATTTCCCAACGTGTTTCAAGAGGAAACCATCCCTCATTTATATACTTCTGAACCGGATTATATAAATGATATTTTCTTACATGTATAATGTACATTTTGTAGATGATATTTATAAGGTACCAGTCGTTTTCTAAAGAGAAGAATTGGAAAGAAACAGAGGGGCGTAAAGTTAGAGAGTAGCTAGGTATGACGTCATAATGCGAATCAGTACAATTAGCGTCAGGCATTTGTGACGTCAGGGTTAGTTACATGGACAACTAGTCTAACTCTAAGCAGCGCGCTTTTTTTCGGAGCAGAAAACAATCCTCCAAAGACTTAACGTGACAGAGTAGAAAGACACACCACAGGAAGAAAATAGCAAGTGAAATTATTTTTAAACGACATTCATCAGGAAAAACAATGGACGAGGTAGGTATCTGATAATACATAGTTGATTAATACACAGCCTGTAACAACTGTCATACTTTCTTCATAGCACAATGTCTGCGAAATTGATAACTCAGCTACATTGATAGAATTAAACTTCTTCTGGTGTTTTTTTTTTTTTGAAAACTAACGAAATCTGAAAAACGTACGAATACGGAAAATTAATGTGTATGTGGCATATCTGTTTCTGGTATGAATCCGGAAAAGTCTATAATTCGGAAAGAAAATGTCCGGATAAGGGAGGTTACACTCTATATGTAGAAAACATTCGGAACTAAATGTAAACGTTCAGGGTTAAACAAAATATGCATAGTATTTCCTTCGAGAAAAGACAGCGGTTCAATCTGCATACTAACATTTGTATTTGACTTGAAATATATATTGTTTTATATATAAGTTTTACCAAAAATGAGCATTGTTATTTACACGGGTTACTAATCACACGCCTGTTATTTTGACTAGTTGAAAATGTTTTGATGCAATAATTACATATATATGTGATACTAGCTCCAGTGTCATTGCACGTGCTATATACACCTGCCAATTACTTGACCTAGACATAAATTACCGCACTGCATGATTTATATTACATATAACCCGAATATTATTCATTATTTAACTACATTGAAGTTTTCTGTGATTGACAAATCATTAATCCGTCCTCTATTTAATTTATCCATCAGATTTCTAAACATCCAACTGATCAGTCTTACACACATGATGGTGACGTCAGAGTGAGGCGGAATTGTGAAACGGCAAACTATGGTAACCAGATTGCTTACGCGGGAAACCACAGCCCCCTTTTTGGAAGCAACCTTCCGACAGCAATCAACTGTTACGATTCTCAAATATCCGGTATTGCCCGAAGGAACTCTTTGTATGGAGCGGACTACCGTGGAAATGGAACGGCATACCGTGGAAAGGTAAAGACACACGAAAATAACGACAGGAGCGGACGAATAACTCACATGCTCGAAAGGAACTACTATGAAAACAACCCCTCGATAGAAATAAACGGCAACAACGGGTCCAGATATGGTCATAATTCAATAAGTTATGAACACAACCACACGCCATCAACCAATTTTCGTGGCCTCCTTGCGTCAGGGAGTGCGGCTTACTATGATGAAACAAAGAGCTACACCACCAGTGTTAACAGCAACCAAGCAGTTATCAATGGACACAAGCAAGCACCAGTCGACACTGCAAGGTACAGCGGTAATCAGAATGTCTCTCTGTATGACGTACAAAACACTCACGGAATATACAATGTACCTACTTATACGTACCAGGGAGTCAACTGGACATCACCAGGAGATGCCAATCATCATGGTACCCAAAGACATTATTACAGCGACACAACATCGGCCACAAGAACCAATAACTATAGTAACGAAACCTTACCTTACGGATCCGGGAGATCATCATCTCATAATCTTCAATTCGATGGTTCAGCGTATGGACAACACCATGAACCACAAAAGGAAACCAATGACAAACATCGTACAACGTGGTCCTACCAGCAACAGGTAAATATTTTGAATACTGCAGATCGAATATATTTCCTGAGATAAATATTTAGTATTAATCACGAGAACTAATAAATCAGAATTAAAATACATGCGTGTACTAAGTTGGTACAACTTTACAAACATCTGCGTTTGGCTTGTAGAATGAAAGAGCGCCTCATCCTACTCTACTATATTCCTGTTTGTTTGTATGCAAACGCATTGATGCAAATGCTGTAACATTGTAACACACCCCCCCCCCCCCCCTCTTTTTTGTTTTTAGATTTCGAAGATTTTATGGAAGTCTTTCTCTTTTTACAGGCAAGCAAGGTCGATGACGTAACATCACGAAAACGGAAGCTCGATGGCGAAAAACGGGGCTCTACATCAAAACAAGAAATCAACAACAACGATGTCACTACAAGTACTCCTAAAGTTGACAAGCGCGCCCTTTATAGCAAATTCCGTGTGGTAAAGAGAAAAGACCAATCACAAGTGTTCAACGAAAGTACAAAGATCAAACCCTTCCTGTTGCGATTCAAACTCGGAGACAAAACGATTGTGGATGTCAATGATCAGGATGGTTTACCAAGAAACACCAAAAGGGCAAAGATTGTTCCGACTGTGACCCCAATTAAAGAAAACGAGGCTGAGGCAACCATTGGTAACATCGAGTTCATCACTCTTGACAACATGAAGATTGTCCGCCGGAAGTTGGAAGTGGTCCAGCTTGTTCAACAGGAAGATGAGCGACAAGAAAGGCTCAAAGCCGAGGCCGAGGTCAAAGCAAAGGTAAAGGCCAATGCTAAAGCAAGACTTAGGACGGACAAAAAGCGCAAGGATCGTCGCCGTGGTCATGTGTAAATGATGCCGGATGCATGTATCGCCTAAAACAGATTTTTAACTATATATTGATGCTTTATTGGTTTTGCCATTGAAAAAACTTAAAACGATCAAATTCTTTAAATTTAGTGACGTCTTAGCTCAAATGCAGTTAATACCGGAAGTTATATTTCATGCAAGCCTATTTCTATATTCCACTGAGAACAACATATCAATAAGTAGCCATGGTTCATACGTTCATGCATCTAGCTAATCAATTGGGAAATGTTTTATAATGTTTTTGAAGTTAATAAAATATTTTACCTAACGCTTGATTTTGTTATCGCTGTTTCTGTTTGTTATTGTTGTTGCTGACTCTGTTGTTGTTTTTGTAGCTGTTGTTGCACGGTTGTTTTGGATAAATCATAAAACATGCAATTTGTGGGAAACGAAAATTATATTCAATTGTACAGAATATAAGTTTTTGATTTATCTATTCTCCTATAGAATGTGACGAACTGCGTATTTTTCTCTAAACTGACCTTTTTCACAATTCATAAAATGAGAAATAATTTTAGGCTATCTCATCTATAGTTAGTTGTCCGATACCAGGGGCGCAAAAGCTAAGCCCCCCAAAAGCTGGAAACTTTAAAGTTTGTATCATCTGATGGCAGAGGTAGGTCCATGAACCTTGAACATGTATAATGCTTACGTCAAAGCCACGGGATAAACAGGGAAGCCCCTCTAGGGATTTTCCTCCCCTCCGCCTCCATACAAATGAAATCTAGAACTCTTCGAAGTATATGCAAATGTATCGAGGTGTAAAAAGAAACGGAAATGTACATGCTCTGTGTTTGATTTTAGTGTGCTTCCTTAGATCAGCCTATGAGTACAAAGTAGTTCAAATTGTGATATCAAAATGTACTTCAACACTTAATCAATTTCATTTTTTTGATTTTTTTTTAAGTAGTCAGCTGAAATATTTTCTGATGTCAAATGACATAATATGTCAGGATCATTTTACTCTATTTTGTTTCTTCGATGTCATCCTTAAAAGATCAAACTGGACAGAGCGTAATGTGATATCTCTGTTAGTGAGGACGCGTAAGATGTACATTAGAGAGGAATATATCGATATGATTGATTGCACAAACTGAACATTGATCGAATTCTATGAAGAAAAAAATAGAAGGACTGACCAAACGTATTACTGTTGATAATTTATACGGACTTCGCATAATTGATGATCGGAATGCGCATACGCATTGTAATTGAAGCAGTTAAAATACAGGGCGATAACTCTTTCTGTCTTGTGTATTTTAAGTGAATCTCGGTACACTTGCAGTACGTTTATAATGACGGACCCCTCCACAAATACTTTGATGTGATTAATTTGTTAATTAAAAGCTATATTAATAATACCGATAAAAGAATAAATCTAAAATATATTCTATTGAGACAAAGTGACCTTGCTTACAACATAACCAAGATATCCCGAGTTCAGAAAGCTTACCCGAAATGCACTTTTGTCAAATACTTCCTGTAATAGCATTCTTATAATGGTTATCTATATTGTGTCACATTTAGTTTTCATCAAACTGTAGTGATGTATTGACATTGTTCATATTTTAGTCAAGAGAACCTATCCATTTCCTCCAAAATCAAGCGAATAACTGTCACTGTTTATCGTAGAGGATCGTAGAGGTGGGGTATTACAAGTCTAATTTTAATTCGATTGAAGACGGCGACAACGGATGACGGAGAAACACGTGTACAAGGGTCGCTTTCACTGAAATACCATAACGCGGACGCGATAGCATGTTACTCTACTCGGTCACAAAATAATGGCAACGCGCTTACCAGGCATCTGTAGTTGAATGTCATACAGCGAGCAAGACGCACCAATTTTAAGGACTTTGGTTTAAATTGTCTCTGTCAGGGGAAAACCCCACAACCTTCCTCATTTGTATGGACGCCCGGGCCAGCTCACGACTCCGTTACCAAAAGTGAAGGAAACACTACATAATTCGTAAACCTGTAGTTGTACACATTTCTATGAAAAATCGAACTTATATTATACGAACATATTTTTATGAAACACAATATACCGATACAGTTCTGTTATGCCCATTGAAGTAAGACGACGATGCAATTCCAGAAAAGGTAAGTCAGCCGCCATTTTTATTTTTTCATTTTTATAAAAACAACTGTTTATTTGAAGAAACCCTATAATTCTACAGAAGCGCCCACTTTGGTCGCCTCATACGATAACGCAGGGAATTACAGCAGCTGTAACAATATTAACAGTTAAAGGGACTTACATTTTTTTCTCCTTTTGAAAAAAAAAATATTGTTTATAAAATGTAATCGACCTTTTCGATAATCATTGTATATATTGAATATATAAATTAATACATTTATAATATTGAATTAAGTGTACCGAAAAGTGAGTCGTCTTGTTTACTAGAATTAAAAATATGGAAATTCGGTTATATTGCTTTAAATCATCTTTTATTATTTTTAAACTGTCAAACTTGTCAAACTGTTTAACGAGATATGAAGGAATAACGAATAATATTTTTGGAAACAATCAATCGACTTATGCAAATCTGTTGCTATCTAATGGGATATTTTATGCACAGAATAACACAAATATACCGTGCCGCTGCGAGCTCATGTTAGGACAAGCTACACTGAGGTCCCCCCTTATGTTGACCCATAACAATGTCTTAATGTGTTGGAATATAAAATATGTCATGCATATACAATTTTCAGTCCTGCAATAAGCGTTTGCGACAAGATAAAAACAGAAACTATAGTAGTAGACTCGGATCCGTTAAGATAACATCCGGAACACATTTCCATAAGATAATTCCGCACGGGGAACATTTCCATGGATGATTAGACCCCGAAGACATTTTCCAAACGGAAAAGCGAATCAAAAGAAAATAACTGTCGTCCAGATAATCACACACATTATACCATCTCGTGTGAGACTCTTGGGTTTTGCATCAGGGTGATGTTTATACGTCGTGTTTGTCTCGGGAAATGGTCTTTTTGCTCCTGTTTTGTCCTCCGCAATGTTGATTGTAATGATAGAAAGCAAACTGATGTGATGTTTATGGAAGCTCTGCGTGGAATTTAAATGCTTTATACTCGAACTTCAATCTTTTTATATAAAGATTAAAAACAATATGCTCTAAACGTAATGGCCTGTGCGTTGACTTTAATGCGATTAGACAGGATTCGGCTTCTTTAAACTGATGAAAATAATCCAACAATATGGATATGACAGACTTATCATGATATTGAAAGTAAAGTCCTATTGCAAAATAATTAATGTTTGAGGAAGAAAACTAAAGAAATACCATTGATGTAGTTCTCAAAACGAGTACAGTTTTGTGACACTTAATGCTATATGCTATATTTTGAACGTCACACCCGTGATTTGCGTAAGAGTTACCTCCCCTAAATTCGATCAATGAAAATCGCTGGAGTTTTTATCGACGCTTGCATGGCAGTCTTGATTACAATCAAACTCAAATTATATTTTTTTCTCTCTCTCTTTTGTGTTTTGTTCAACGGTCTTAGCATGTAAGTCTTTTGGGAAGAAGGCGAATGTCAGACTGATCGTATGGGTTAATACTGATCTGATTTCACTTTTATTCGATCACTTGTACTTGTAACAGATGACGAAAACTACTAAAGAAAATAAAGTGTAAAGAAAGCAAAAATTTGAACGGAAATCTCAAACAAAATAATTAGTCAATTAGTCATAGATGGCCAACATAGATTCTGTTACATAATGACATTCGGGGCGCAAGCTGAATTGGGGGATGTTACAGATTCTTGGCTCGAGAATGACATAATTGTTATCTTTAAAATTTAAAAAAAATACAAAAAAAAAAAAAATCAAAAAAAATCCAGACTTAACTGACTTTTGAAGTTTGGTTTAATGAAGTTCTACTATATCCGATATTATTACTGAATTTCGAATAAACGTGATTCTAAAAACTCAGATAAATAAGGTTTTACTGACCATCACAGTCTGAATAATCAAGATTCTACTGTATAACAAAGAGTAGGTGGCCGGATTAAAGGGATCCGGACTATACAGGGTCGGCTAACTAATCTGGTCATACATTTCCCAGATACTACACTGTTCGTTGTCGAGGCGTATCGGCCTGTGACCTGCAGACGTTTATTTATTTTTTTATCAAAAACACACAACGATCGGAAAAATAACCTCAGTGTTTGGCAGACAAACAGCCGACATTCAACAGACCACTGATATTTATATCTAGACGGTCTTACGTAAGGTTACCCATATTGCATTTTTTAATATAAACATGATTTAAAGCTCCACTCATTCTCGTCTTACTCACTTTGTTACATTGTATTATTGTCGGCGATTGTAACTTGTTAAAACAGCAGATATTTTGTGACCATATCCTCACACATCACCTTCGAAGTTCAAGGAATACACAGCTTAAAGTGATGTCTTACATGTGCAAGTTTCGTCCTGCTCGCGTAAAGCTTGTTTCAGCCAACGGATAGTAAATTGTCAATGCTTCCATTAAAAATTCAGATTAGCCAGGTACCACCTTCGGTTTGGTTTGGTTGTGTTTTATGTCCTATTGACAGCTATGGTAATTTAAGGACGAGGCAGGTTTTTGTGGTGAAAGAAAGCCGGAGTACCCTGAGGAAACCACCGATCGCGACCTACGGCCAGTACCTGGCTACTGCCCCACGTAGACCTCGAACCCGCGACCTAGTGATAGAGGGCTAGTGGTAGCAGAATATCAGACCGACGCCTTAACCACTTGGCCACCGCGTAACCTTAGGTACATTTAGGTACCACCTACACTGGGCACTGTTTAAATAGATGACTTATCATGAAATATCAATCAAAAGGAACTAACTAAGGGAACAGGAACTAACTAAGGGAACAGGAACTAACTAAGGGAATATCAAAACAAAGGGAAAGCAACAGAACTAGGGGAACAACAAAACAAAGGGAAAGCAACAGGAACTATGGAAATATCATAACAAAGGGAAAACAACAGACTAG